TGCGGCTTTGCTCCTGGTGCCGCTGGTCTGCTGGGGACTGTCTCCAGCAGACCAGGGACACCGGGAGCAAAGGAGGTGGAGGGGCGCTGGGGTATAAGATGAAACCCTATCTTTTAATTAAAAAGATAGGGGGTCGTCTTATACGCCCAGTCGCCCTATACGCCGGAAAATACGGTATTTATTCTTGGAGCTGGACTTTTAATGCTCCATTCATCTGAAGAAGTGGGTTGTACCTTCGAAAGCTCATAATACCATCTACATGTTTGGTTAGTCTTTAAGGTGCTGCTAGACTATTCATCGTTTAAGTTTTTCCAGTTACAGATTAACTCTGCTATCCCTCTGAAGCTTTTGAACAAAATAATTTATTTTCAATGTGGTCTGGTCCTTCAATGACAAAACTCTCAATTTCTTGTTTCCAGGCATCTCCACTAATGTCAGCCTACAATACAAAGTGTACTTGGCTTTAAAGTTCCCATGTTCTTTACGTATACTGGGTTTCTTACATATACTGTAGTCTCAAGGCCTGTCTATATTAGCAACAGTTGTTGGATGGGAGTCTTCCTACACTGTAGCTGAAGACTGTTTGTCCATTAGCATACAAAGGACAATATTGTTTTTTGGCATCATATTAGAATTCAGTCTGCCTAAGGTATGAGTCCATTTAAGCGTGCTAATGAACCCTGCAGTTATTATTTAATTTAATTATTACACACATTACATTTATACCAACTAGTATTTGCATTACTGTATTTAATGCATTGCGTAGTGCCTATTTCAACAAAATAACTTATATTTTCCATGTTCATAATTTCATTGAAGCAAGCCAAAATTGAAGAAGAGCAGCAAAGATGGAAACAGCCTCCAGGGGAACCTTCAACATCTGACGATTCAAGAAGGCCACGGATTAAAAAAAGTGCCTATTTTAGTGATGAGGAAGAACTTAGTGACTGATACGGATATATTTTGTGTACATTTGTACAGTATTAAAGTTGTCTGTAATATAGCTTTGTGCTAAAGCTAAAGAAAGTTGCTGCTACAACATATACTATTATAAATTAAACATAGTAATTTCTTATACAGCATCTGATTTCAAATATCGTATTTCTGAATTTTTAATTGAGCATCCTGAGGTGGATCTAGGTCATTCAGTGTGTAACATTGAGACCTTAATTTAAAATTTTAGCCCTGCATAGAGGGACCAACTCAACGCTTATACACCACTTAATTTCTTTTTAAGGCCTATTTGCAAGTGGAGCTTCAATGTTGTATTGTCCTTGCTTTGGTCCCTCCACATAGGGCTGAATTTCACCGTTTGTCACCATTATTCTAAAGTGTAGGATGTTGTTATTATAGGATAACTGCAGAACAGAATCTAAACTGCCAACTGGTATGTTATAACTTGACAGTTTGTGAAACAATTTAGCAAATTGATTTTGTTCAAGAGGAGCATTAAAAGGCTTCTGTTTTTGTTCTGTATCTATGTACAGTTTTAATAATTAATCATTGCTTGTCATAAACCTATTGAAAATACAAACTATCTGGGAATCACAAAATTTAAGCGAAATGTGGTGTTTTAAGAATATTGTTTACTGAAAATCTTCATGAGAATTTTTTAAAGATGACTGGCAATTTTATTAGCATTACCTAAGAGGAATATGTGTATTTTTAATGAATATGCTTTCTTCTTTTTTAAATAAATATTTGAAGACTCTCAGTGGGATGAGGGCTTGCTGCTGTATTCTGACTCAAGGATATGGACATAATATGTTTTCATTACTAATCATTTACTTTGTCAGATGATGGGTAGGTGACACTGCATACATTTCCTGCTAGAAGTTTTCTTTTTATCTTGGTATTTATTTTGTCATCATTATGACACCAGAATGCTAATGTATCGTGTTTTTTTAGATCTTTATGTTTAAACCACTTTATATCATATATCTGGTAGGTAGGTATAGGACTTACGTATTATCCCCAATTTACAGATGTAGAAACTGACTAGAGAGCTAAGTCCCTTGCCAAAAGTTGCAAAGCAAGCCAATGATAGAGCTGGAGTTAGAAATTGGGATTTCTCTCTTGTATTCTGAAGGAATTACAGCTACATTGCCTTGAAGGTATTTCAAATAGAGTTTAGTATGATGTCACTGCACTATTTATACTTTCTAGTAAATATACAGACCAAATTGATTGGCATCTTTTTAAGAAACAAGTATGTACTGGTTCATAATGTACAGTGAGGACCTGTCAAGCTTGTTTTGTCAAACCATCCTGATAAGAACATAAGAATGGCCATACTGGGTCAGACCAAAGGTCCATCCAGCCCAGTATCCTGTCTGCTGACAGTGGCCAATGCCAGGTGTCCCAGAGGGAGTGAACCGAACAGGTAATGATCAAGCGATCTCTCTCCTGCCATCCATCTCCATCCTCTGACAAACAGAGACTAGGGACACTATTCCTTACCTGTGCTGGCTAATAGCCATTAATGAAATTAACCTCCATGAATTTATCTAGTTCTCTTTTAAACCCTGTTATAGTCGTAGCCTTCACAACCTCCTCAGACAAGGAGTTTCACAGGTTGACTGCACTGTGTGAAGAAGAACTTCCTTTTATTTGTTTTAAACTGCTGCCCATTAATTTCATTAGGTGGCCCCTAGTTCTTATATTATGGGAGCAAGTAAATAACTTTTCCTTGTTCACTTTCTCCACACCACTCATGATTTTATATACCTCTATCATATCCCCCCTTGGTCTCCTCTTTTCCAAACTGAAAAGTCTAGTCTCTTTAATTTCTCCTCATATGGGACCCATTCCAAACCACTAATCATTTGAGTTGCCCTTCTCTGAACCTTTTCTAATGCCAGTATATCTTTCTGAGATGAGACCACATCTGTACACAGTATTCAAGATGTGGGCGTACCATGGATTTACTTATATAAGGGCAATGAGATATTCTCCGTCTTACTCTCTATCCCTTTTTCAATGAGTCCTAACATCCTGTTTGCTTTTTTGACTGCCACTGCACACTGTGTGAACATCTTCAGAGAACTATCCAAGATCTCTTTCCTGATTAGTTGTAGCTAAATTAGCTCCCATCATATTGTATGTATATTTGGGGTTATTTTTTTCAACGTGTATTACTTTACATTTATCCACATAACATTTCATTTGCCATTTTGTTGCACAATCGCTTAGTTTTGTGAGATCTTTTTGAAGTTCTTCACTGTATGCTTTGGTCTTAACTATCTTGAGCATTCTGATGATTTTTGCAGGAAGCTTTCATAGACCTGTTTGTGATCTTCCCTCCACTGCCATTCAGTAGATAAGTTTGATTCAGTCATCTAGTTGAAATGTACTTTTAGAAGATGATCAATCTGGAAGTGATTCTGTCTGCACCCGTCAGCTTGCCCCTTAACCTCACCAGGGTCCCAGTCAACCATTTTTAACAGTTTTGCAAAAATACAGATTTCATTCATACATTCATGGAGAAGAGACCAACTGTCCAGTGCTGCTCCTGCCGTGACTTAGATCTGTGCCCTGACACCACAAAAATTCTCTTCTTCCAAAGACTGCAGAAGGCAGTTCTGGACCTCCCTGGGCATAAATTCTCCTTTAAAATCTCAATCTTAAAATTATATTTAAAGCTCAAATATGTACTTTTTACTCTCTCTTCTGATGCTATTCTGAATTGCATTGAGCCCTGGTCTACACTAGGTCTTTATTTCGAAATACCATTTCCTTAGGTCAAATTTATAAGTGGAGCATCCACGCTACCAAACCTGTTATTTTGAAATCTGTACTCCTGCTTTTCTCGGGGAATAACACCAATTTTGAAATAGCTATTTCAAAACAGCATTAGTATCGACATTTCAGTGTTGCTATTTTGAAATAACTGCTCCCCAGAGTAATTTGAACTACTGGTAGTTACTCTCCTGGGGTTCTAAGTCAATGTAATGTGTCCACATTAACAAAACTTGTCTCAGACTAATTTCAAGGCTTTCCTGTAGTGGGGACATGCTATTTTGATTTTGTGAAATCAGGAGTTAAATTGAATATAGTTATTTAAAAATAGTTTCCTAGTAAGTTTGCTGGCTTCCCTTTTTCCCACCCACACAAAGGTTTAGAAAATGGCAGTGAGAGGAGAAAGTAAAAGGAAAAAAAGATTCACAGTGTTTCTCTTACTACTCCAATTCTGTGCAGAGGAGTCAACAGGCTTATTCTACCCAGCTGCCATTTTATCAAAGCTCCACAGGATTGTCCTCTTGTGTATGATCAGGCTAATGGTCTCTGAGTCTCCCCTCCCCCGCCCATGCTTCCTGCTGGCTACCAAAAGGATTTCCCACAAAGCAGCTAGAGCAAGGATTTTCTGGCCGTTCTTCTTTTTGCCTTACAACCCTCTGCCCTGTATTTGCTAGTTAGTGTATAGTAGCAGTTCAGTGTCAACCATCTCAGCTGATCAGGTAATACTCCTTAGAAGTACAAAAAGCACCTGGAATTGCAAGTGGTTTGGGTAGAGGACGAGCTAAAATCAAACCTGTTTCTGCTCAGAATTAGATTACCGAATGTAAGTGATTTGTCTTGGTCTCCTTCCACTTAGTATGTCTCATTTCTGCTTCTGCCCTCTTTCCACAGACATCTTCTCAGGTGTCTGGGTGATGTTTTTTTATTGGCAGCATTTCATAGCCTTTATGGTTAACCTATCCAGGTGTTACTTGATATATAATTATCTTGTCACCTTCATACCTACATATAACCTCTTGAAATCATCACCTATCCTGTAAGCCAGTGGTTCTCAACCTTTCCAGGCCACTTCCTCCCCCTTCCCACCCTCCCGCATCCCCCTTCTGTTCTGCAGTGTGATTTGTCCTTTTCATATTTGTTCATTTTTTTAATTGTATCCTTTGGTATATATGGTTGTGACTACTTTCTTCCACTATTTGATCTGAGGAAGTGGGTCTGGCCCACGAAAGCTTATCATCTAATAAACCATCTTGTTAGTCTTTAAAGTGCTACATTGTCCTGCATTTTGCTTTCCAGGCCACTGTACTTGCAAACCAGAAGTTTCACCTTACTTAAAAACAACTTGCTTACAAAATGAAATGTTAAAATACTGAAGTATCACAGCACACTATTACTGAAAAATTGCTTTTTTACTTTTACAAATAAATCTATTGGAATATAAATATGTACTTACATTTCAGTAGCATGCAGAGCAGTATGAAGTCGTGACATTTTAGTTTGTACTGACTTCACTAATGTGCTTTTGATGTAGCATATTGTAAAACTAGGCAAATATATAGATGAATTGATGCATCTTCTTGAAGACATCTGTGTAACCTCTAGGGGTATGCATGCTCTTGATTGAGACGCACTTCCAGAACAGGCCATGTACAAGAAGGAAGAATTTACTGGCTAACATAAAAGTACTAGAACAAGAATGCTTTATCTGATAACTCTCAAGGCAAAACAGCAGAAAATCAAAGATCAAAACCAAATGAGCTTCAAAATTGAAGCCAGAGAGTAAAGTTAATAAGCTGCTGCACTAAAGACTTTCAAGAACCTTTTCCTTGGGGATGTAAACAAAAATTGCTTGTTTCTATTCTATGCATTTGATGAGGTAATTAAAGCAGAATGGGAACACTACAGTAACCCTTCTAGAGTAGATGCAGCAATAGTCCCCTTGTAATAGATGCTGTGATTCTCACCAAAGGATTTCCCCACCAAAGAGAAGATATGAAAGAAATCTTTCCTAAGCTCTGACTTGGCATTAGCTCTGAGAGCTTTAGATGTGTTGCTTTGACCTGGAAGAATGAGCTCATGGTAGCCTTTCCCTCAAAGGAAAAAGAATTGAAAGCCATTTTATTAAAAAAAACCTCTCTACCCTTGTTGCTAAAGGCAGATAAATCTTGATTCCCTCAGATTGCTAGTTTGATCTATGGTTTCAAACACCAGTTTCAGCAAATGCAAATGGAAAACATGCAGGTAAAGGCTCCAAGGATTGGACAAATTTCTTTTGCTTTGAGGAGACTGTCAGATTTTGGATCTTTTCCCAAAAGCAGCTAACATTTAAAACACCTGCCTTCTTATTTTCAAAGGGGAGCTTCAGCTATCACAGAGAGGATACAACACTGTCAGAACAAACGTTATACAAGAGCTTTCCATGCCAGTTTATCCTGTTGAGAAGTGCCTGATTCTCATGACTCAGCCACATAGAAAGTGTGCCTGTGAATTTTGTAACCTGACAGTGACATGGTTAACTTCACCAAGTGTAAATTTCACAGTTCAGTCTGTGCCCATGTGGTATCTTATCTGCCATCATGACTGTGGTTTTGAACCTACTTCTACCAGGCTTCTATGATGTTCTTAGGGAGTGCCACCCTGGCCACTATCCGGTAGTGCCTTGTTAAAGTACAAGTAGAGGTGGTGGTAGATATGATTAGGCAGTAGTAGACAAAGTGCAATGATCCGCCCAGTGGTGTGAGAGTTATGTCCAGCAAATCAAATTACAAGCAATTGAAGCCCATTTGTAATTTCTGGGTGACAAGGCCTGTGGGATTGCTTATATGCGTTTGATAAAGTCCCTTGAAGTCAGGCAATGGCCTTTTGTGCTGTTTTAGCTGCACAGCTATGTGTATGGGAGGTATTTTTACCATTTTTTCTCTATATAAATATGTATGTATGGTGATCTCTATGCACAAAAAGGTTAAATTGCTGTTTGTCTGCAAAGAGTATTGTCATTGAAATGGC